TGGGTAGAGCATGGAGCAAAATCTATGTAAAGGTGGCATTGAAAACAGCACCAAGATCATTGATCAAAGTCATAAAAGCCAGGCGTGGTGGCACACACCTGGAGGTTGAGGGAGGGGGATCTGTGAGGATCAGCAATTTAGTGAGGCTCTAAGCAACCTAGTGAGACCCTGTCTAAAACAAAACAAAACAAAATAAAATAAAGGGTTAGGGATGTGGTTCAGTGGTTAAGCGCCCATGGTTCCATCCCTGGTTACCACCCTCTCAAAAAAGTCTGTGTAAAACAGGCACTGAAAACAGCACCAAGAATATCACCTTTGAGGTTTTTTTTTTCTCCCCCTGTGTTTCTGGGGATTGAACACAGGGCCTTGTGCTTGCAAAACAAGCACTTTACCAACTGAGCTACATCCCCAGTCCTACCTTTGGGTTTTAGTTCTTCCTATCAACTTCAGCTGGGTTCACCTCCATCTCCCATTTTCCCACCTCTGGGGCCAAGGAATTGGCTGGAGGTGTTCCCACAGGAGAATCTCAAGGTCTTTCACATTTGAAATCGGTCTTGATGATGCTGTTTAATATTTCTCTGTGTGGTTTCTGTATTTCAATGAGCCCTTAGTTGGGATCCATCAGTTCTGATTGCTGACCATTGATATTCTTGGCATACCCATAAAGAACTTATGGAGATACTTAGGGCCCATGGGAAATTGCCTCTCCTAATCTCCTTCTGTCCTATTCCTATCTCATCTCCTTCTTTTCCAGGCCCAAGTGTCATGGTGGTATTTATGGAACACTCTTCAAGGGAACATGAATCTTTTGGGACAAATGTCTCCTCTTCACAGGGAATTTTCTCCCTATTACTAGCTTTGGAGTATCAGGCTTAATTTTATTAAGGTAAATAAATGGCAGTTTCTTTTAGGCCTTGACAGAAGAAGTGTGGATACAAATGCCAAGTTCTGTAAAGCGTTATCTTAAAGGTACAGTTTTTTTTCCCCTCTTAAACAACCAACACCAAGTACAATTTTATAGCTGGTGACTGTGTATTGTATTTTAAGCTCACAAAATATTCTAGTCCAAAGCTCTCCGGAGCCCTCTGCAAGAAGGAAGAAAAGGGAGGGGAGAAGTGACTCCCTCTTGCTTCCCACTGATGTGTGCTCTGGAGCAGGCAGATTTTAAGTCTGGATATTGCCCTTGATTACTCCAGAGGCTACTCTTTTGTCATATGAATTTCACCAAAGAAACCACATATGTATAAGTTAGAATGACTTAGCAGAAGCACAAACAAGACTGAAAATCTGAAGAGAGTTTACTGTTCAGAATCCTATGATATGACTCCATTTCTTTCTATTAAAGATTAGGGTTGATGGAGGCATATCTGACCTTTATCATAGTCATTGAACTGGGAGAGAGAAAGCAAAGGAAATATTTGTTGCTGAATGTTTTCTTCTTGTTTCTTATGTGACAGCTAATGCTTTTATGTTCATCTATAAATCATGACCTATTAGTGGCAATACTAGAGTTTTTCTAGTTTAACTGTGTAATTGACTATGAATAAACATAGCATGTTTCAGGGACATGACTGATTTTCAGTAGGGAAGCCCTCTGTTGGCACCTGATGCAACAGATTGAATTTGTTACAGACCAGCTGATGTCTGGAGATGAGGCTGAAATGGGAGAACCGGCAAAGCACTTAGATGGAGTTAACAGGAAGTAGATTGATTCTGTTTGGTTCCAGAATAGGCTCTAGAAGAATATTTGAGTATAGGAAGTACCACATACCTTTTGCCCACTTTATCAGCAGTAGGGGACTAAAATCTGAGTGGGGGTGGCAGCTGGAATCATACTGCCTGTTTTTGGAAAAATCACTACAAGTTTGATGTAGATCTCAAGAGGAGGGAACAGTGGCAGGGGAGGAGGAAATGCACGTCTATGCCCCATTTGATTGTTCAGTCTGGCAGCTGCCAGAAGATTAGCATTGACAGCATGGACTTCAAGCACATTCAATCTGTTCCTTGATTCCTGTCTGAGGATCAACTGTAGATATGATGGTTGATGAATTAAAGTGAGATAATTAACAGATACCAGGCACACTGACAAATCAAGATGCTATCCAGTAAGAGGGAGGGAATAGAAATTTGGATTTATAGCATAGACTCTCAGAGCACATGGATTCATATCATCTACAGACAGATGTGTGCCTTTATGAAGTTACTTAATCTCTCTACTCTTGTCTATCTATGAAATAGAGGTAATGCACTCATCAGGTAAGGCCAGAGGCCAGTAGAGTGTCTTTGGCATGGGAGCAATGGCTGGCATAGTTGTGAACAACACTTTTCCTCCATTAGGGTCTGCTCATTTTAGTTATCATCCTATTTGACTTCTGCCTGTTGTGCATCTGACCCTTCCTTTCTTAAAGCTGTCTGCCCCTTTGGCTTCAGTGACACCTGCCCTTTTCTAATTGCTCCTCTACTTCTTTGATCACTACTTATAGTCTGTTTCCTTAGTTTTTCTCCTCTCTTAGCTCTTGGTGTTCCCAGAGCCCCATTTCCCCCCTATATCTCTTCTCAATTTGGATGATCTTTATTCTCTCGTCTTTCTTATGGTACCTTCTAGCTGATGACTTCTAATTACATTCTTAGACCAAATCTCTTGTGCATCTTTCCTGGGAATTGAACCCAAGTGTGCTTTACTACTGAATGGATTGTGTGTGTTTGCGTGTGTGTACACGCGCGCGTGCAAAGGGGGTGTCCCTGGGATTCCACGCCTGCTCATTCACAGATTTCTCAGTTCCATTTATTTATTTATTTATTTAGAGCTGAGGGTCTCCCAAAAATGCCAAGACTGGCCTGATACTTGTGATCCTCTTGCCTCAGAGTTTCTGGGATTATAGGTGAGTGCCACTGTGCTGGGCTCTTGGTGTTCTTTTCTATTCTGCAACTCTTGTAGTCCAGTCCTCTGCCCCATCTCTGCGATCTCCCAGCAATTCCTCTATGCGATGTGCGCTTGTGCTTTCCCACAGGTCTTTTCTGGGGCCTTGAGATGAAGTTTAATGAATATTTGGTTCTGTAGTAGCATTTTGTATAGAATGTATCGGTTGTTTTAAGCCATTCACATGGGTATTTCTCCCACAAGACAAGAGTTCCCTCATACCAAACATTCTGTCTTGTTCTTTGGTTCCCAGAATCTACTCAGGTAGGTGAGACAAGGTAGATGCCCAACGCTCAGGGTAAACGAACAGAAATATTTATTTTTTATTCACAGTGCACTCTGCCTCAGCTGCTGACTTTTTAAGAGACACGTTCCTTCTGGGCTTCAGTGTTCCCAGCCCTCCCGCGCTGTTCAGGTGAAGGGCAGCCCGGTGGCTGGCTGCCTGCCGGCTGGGCTGGGTGACTGCCCGCGCGCCTGCGCCCTCTGCAGCTCCACTCCGGGCGCGTCTGTGTGCGCGTGTGTCTGTTTGGAGAGGAGAGGCTTGGGTGACAGGCAAAGGGTAGGGCGAAGAGTTCTGTCTGAGTCGCCGGCTCATTCACCGATTTCTCAGCGGCTGGACAGAGGCCGCCTCGCCACGCAGCTTCCAACTACTCCTGCACCTCCATAGTCCCCACCTCCCTCTGCTTCATTCTCAGCCCGGCAGACTGACAGACAGACTCTCTAGTGAGTAGCGGCAGCTTGTGCGCCGGAGCTGTTCCGGGCAGTTCTGTCTTCCCACGGATTGTGTGTGTGTGTGTGTGTACGCGCGCGCGCACAGGGGGTGTTCCTGGGATTCCACGCCTGCTCGGAAAGCTCCCCGCCGGGATCCGTGTGTCCATCCGAGTCTGCGCTTCGGTGCGGGTGCTCTCCCAGGCAGGGACTCGGACGCCGGGATTCCCCGGCTCCGTGCGCAGCGGCTGGTGGGGTTCCCCCGGAAGGCGCCTAGGAGAGCAGGCGGTGGGGAAGCCCGGGCTTGTGAGCTGCTAGCAGGCCGGGAATCTGGGAGCAGGTCCGGCCCAGCCCGGCCGATGGAGACGCCAGAGCGGCCACCCCTTGGCCGCCTAGCCTCTCTTTCTCCTTTCTTCTCACAGCAGCATCACAAAAGCGCGTAGCAGAATGAAATCCAATGCGGCGAATCCCGACTGTCTTCCACCTGGTGCACATCGCCCCCGGGAGGGAGAGACCGAGTGGGGCTCCCCAAGATTAGGAACAGGGGCTTACCCCAGAGGCACACCCGTGTTCCACTCTCACTGAATTTAAGCTGGATGTTGGATCTCGCGAGTCGTTCCAACACTTACACACCGGGGTGTGTGTGTGTGTGTGTGTGTGTGTGTGTGTCCGCGCACGCGCGCACGCACCCCAGGGCCCACGTTCACGGAGCGCAATCGATAAATAGCTCAACTCCCTGCCTGCCTGCGCTTGCATAGCCGGTGGGCTCCTTGCGCGCGCTGTGACAGCGTGCCAGCATCTCTTTGTTTGGTTGTGGCTTCCCCAGCCATCTGCAAAGCAAATTGATTTTCAGTTTCGCTTGCGCGCTGGGACTTAATGTCGGTCCCAGTCTCCAGTGCCCCTGGTATTTGTAATTGAATAGTTCTTTCTGTCAGGAGGTTATTTTTAGTGTTGGGATTAGACACAAGCACGTTGACCTTTTTGCTGCTACCTTTGGCTTTCAGTAGGTGATGGAGCAGACAGATGCCTATCTACTTGCACACACGTGCCAGCGCACAATTGTGCACACACATTTCTACGCACGTAGTTTCTCCCTCTTTCTTTTTCTTCCTTTTTTTTTTCTTTTTAAATTGGGACTGGGAATGCATTGTGAGTTAAAAACACACACACACACACACACACAACTTTCCTTTGTTCTTTTGGGGATTTTTCTATTTTGAGTAATGGAGTAGGAGTGCGAAAAGGTTGCAATTAGTTCACTCGAATAAAAGACACTGCCTCTGAGTCAGAGCTGCCAGGTTGATAATTATTAACATATAATAGCAATGCACAGTTTAAGGGAAAAGGGGCGGGGCGGGAGCAGGTCCGCGGCAGACAATGAGGGAGTCTCTGCCGACCGCCTGCTGTTTATTGTTCCGGGACCTGAGAATGAGGCCGGCAGCTGCCCCCTCCTGCAGAGTTTAGCTCCTGGATTTGCTGTCTTTTGCATTCGGGACCATCGGGGTCACCTAACGCTGGTCGCTGGGGCGCCGAACGCCAGCCTCAGCCGCCTTTCACTGACTGTCTCTTCTCTATTTTCCAGATTGGCACCTTCAAGCCCGAGGTGTCCCAAGCCCAGGAGGTCCGGATCCGGTGCCCCTGGGGCATCCAGACGGGATGTCTTGCGGACAGCGGTGCTAACTAAGTGCCTCCACGCTGGGAGCCAGGCGCACTGGCTCCTGGCTACCGGCCGAGCGGCGGCGGCGGCGGCGGGGATGAGCCCCGGACGCTCAAGGCGCCTGCCGCGAGCTACCGCCCCGAGGTGGAGGCCAAGCAGGGTTCTTCGCTGGACAGCGCGAACGCTTTCCCGCCGGGGCACGCGGCTGCGGAGCCCCGGGCCGCGCCTGCTGTCAGGATGCCCTGGGCGCCTCCCTATTGGTGAGGATGCCCTGCTGTGAGGCTCTACCATCCCTATTCCTGGTCTCAAGCGGGCGCGACTGAGCTGGCCGGGCATTAGCCCCTTGCGCTGGTGGATGAAAAGAGCTGGAGTCCTTGTGTGCAATCAGCGATCGAATCTGAATTCTAAGAGCCATGGACGAAAGTCCTGGGCCGCAGCCCCCGGGGAAAGAGCAGCTGGAGGCACCAGTCCCAATAGGAGCTGTCCAAGAGAAGGGCGAGCCAGAGACCTTCAGGTCCAAGAGTTTACCGGTCCTGAACAGCGCCTCCTGCCGGCCGAACCTCAGTCCTGAGAGTGTGGACTTCAAGCCGGCCTTCGGCTGTAAGGATTCTTTAAGCCACCAGAAGTCCAAGCAAGGCCGGAACCCGTTGGCCCCCAGTCCTTCTGCCCCGTCCACTTCGGCTGGGATGGCAGGACTCGTGGATTGTACCCACAGGAAGGACGTAAGCAAAACCGTCTCGGTGTCCTCCACTCTGGCCACACTCCAGGAGAGAAGGTGCCTGCATGTGGTCCTCACTGATTCCCGCTGCTTCCTGGTTTGTATGTGCTTTCTGACCTTCATCCAAGCGTTAATGGTCTCTGGGTACCTGAGCAGTGTCATCACCACCATTGAAAGACGCTACAGTTTAAAGAGTTCTGAGTCGGGGCTGCTGGTCAGCTGCTTTGACATCGGGAACCTGGTGGTGGTGGTGTTTGTCAGCTATTTTGGGGGCCGGGGTCGGCGGCCCCTGTGGCTGGCGGTAGGTGGACTTTTCATTGCCATCGGAGCTGCCCTCTTCGCCTTACCTCACTTCATCTCGCCTCCCTACCAGATCCAGGAGTTGAACGCCTCGGCGTCCAACGATGGCTTGTGCCAGAATGGCAACTCCACGACCGCTTCGGAGCCTGCCCCCTGTCCGAAGGACTCGGGAGGAAATAGCCACTGGGTCTATGTGGCTTTATTCATCTGTGCACAGATTCTCATTGGAATGGGCTCCACACCTATTTATACCCTGGGACCAACCTACTTAGATGACAATGTTAAGAAAGAAAATGCGTCCTTGTACCTAGGTAAGACTTCTGAAACTTACTTTCCTTCCAAAAAATCAGAAGGAAACATGTCTTTCACATTTTCAAATATTTTAAGCATTAAGATTCGCTTTATTTTAGATTTTGGGCTTGGTGTGGTGAGTTTTTGACTTGGAGGAGAATCAATTACTTGAGAAATCTTGGAACTAATCTCAGGCTTACACTTCACATTTGTATTTCAGGGTAGTGTTTCTCTCTCTTGTTGCCTACCTTTGGAAAAAGTCTTGATTTGTGAAGTTTATCTTTTAGTAACTGTCCTTGGATTCAGGAAGAAAGGGAAGTAACTATAGCACGTCAAGTTTTGAATTATTGCTTTTATTTATTGCTACCTCTTATTTCTGTCTGCAACATATAACAGAGAACCAGACTACACAGAACATGCTATATTACCCACATCCCTGTATTACACCTTACACATCGCTTGCATCATTATTAAAAAAAAAAAAAAAATCGCTGGGCCTGGTGGTGTACACATGTAATCCCAGTGGCTCTGCAGGCTGAGGCAGGAGAATTGCCAGTTCAAAGCCAGCCTCAACAAAAGTGAGGCACTAAGCAACTCAGTGAGACTCTGTCTCTAAATAAAATACAAACTAGGGCTGGGGATGTGGCTCCATGGTCAAGTGCCCCTGAGTTAAATCCCCTGTATCCTCAAAAGAAAAAAAAAAAATCACCAACAAAAACCTGCAAAATATCAATTGACTAGTTTATCTTCATGCAGAAACAACAACACAAGTTGTAAAGTTTATTCAAAGCTATTTTTTTTTAAATTGTGAGTTGAAGACCGTCAATGACAAGAACTTGGGAGAAGAATTTATTACCAGCTGAAGAGCAGAGACTCTGGGACTTGGTGTATTGATTTGCATAAATCTGAAACAGGGATGTTGGGTGTTTGGGTTAAAGTATAAGGTGAGACCAGGCAGTTAAGGGTAGGGTTAATTTACTTCCTAGAACTAAATCTATGTGGTTGTCAGCACCTCCCTGTAGTAGCTGCTCCTTCAAATCTGCACTTCTAAGGGCTGGATTTAAACCTGTGAAAGGATGAATTGCTGTCACAGCAGATGAGATTTTGGTTACTCTGTTTCTCTACTTGGTTTCTCTCTTTCAGTTTCCAACTGAAACAAGATAAAAGGTTCTACTTTATAAAAAAAATTAAACAGGTAAATAAGTAAGTAGTAGCTACATTTAGAAACTTATTAGCCTTGTGCTGATAGGATCCTTGCTGTGGGAATGAATAATAAGGTTTTCAAAGGATAGTGAAAAAGATACGTAGTGTTAGAAGGCTATGATTTGTCCTTAGTATAGTCTCCATTCCCAGAAACTGTCATTGTTGGGTATGTGAGTCCCAATAGTTCCTAATAACTGGCCCGATCATCAGGACAGAGTTTTAGAACTTATTTTTATTAAATGTAAGAGAAAGAAATTCTTTTTTTGGGCAGAGAGGAATAGTTTTCTTGTTACCTTGTCTCTGTTTTCTTTCATTATAAATTTAAAAATATAAACAGAAGTTAAAATAACAGTATAATGAACATTAATATATCAACAGTATAATGAACCTAGATTTATTAATTGTTCATTTTGTCATGTTTATAAACCTTTGTATATATGTGTATGAAAATATATTCTTTAGGGAAGGGATCTAAACTCTTTGAAAGTAAGTGCTGACTTTCAAACACTAACTTTCAGTATGCACCTTATAAAAATAAGGGCATTCCGGGGGCTGAAGATATAGCTCAGTGCAAGAGCACTCCTTATGTGGGTGGGCTTTGGGTTTGATGTCTAGCACTGGTAAAAAAAAATATGAAAAAAAGGCATTCTTTTACACAATTGCAGAAGCATTAGCATCCTAAGAAAGTTAGTAATCATTCCTTAACATCATCAAATATCCAATCCAAATTCAAATTTTCTCAATTATCCCCCCAAAGTCTTTTATAATAATTATTAATTTTTAAACCAGGAACTGACCAAGGATTACACATACATTGCCTTATTTAGCTGCTCACCTTGGTAGTCCTTTATAATCCAGAATAGTGCCTCAGCTTTCTTTTTTCTTCTTTTTCTATGACAAAGACTTTTTGAAAAGGGAAAGCTAGTTGATTTGTAGAATGCTCCTTCTGCATTCTAGATTCATCTGAGCATTTTCATGTGGTATCACTTACTGTGTTCCTCCACTTGCTGTATTTCCTGTATCCTGGTATTTCAGTCTAAAGGCTTGATTAAATTCAGACAAAACATTTTTTGTTAGACTGCTTCATAGGCAATGGCATTTGGCCATTCCTTAGTGATGTTAATTTTAATGAGTTTGCTGAGAGATTGATTGTTGGATGTTTCATTGTAAAGATATTTTTCTCCATTTGAAAATAATAAATTATCTTTAGGGTGATATTTGACTCTATGCAAACCCAATTAGTGTTCATATTCTTGCTGATATTTGTCTCCACTTACTTTGAAAACTTGAATCTCCCTTTCATTCCACTTCTGGGTACCATTGATAGAAACTTTCTGCATCAAAATCACAAGTGTTATGAAAAGGGTGAATATCCATTAATAAGAATCCTGAGAATTAACTCTTTTGGTAGTGGTCATTTGCCAAGAAGAAAAACAGTAAGAATATATTAAATATGTATCTTATGCTAGGCACTAGGCACTGCTAGTTTGTTTGTTTTGTAATGCTGGGAATCAAACCTGGGATCTTATGTATACTAGGCAAGTGCTTTACCACTGAGCTATACTCCCAGCCCTATGCTAATTTTGAGAAGACCAAAAGTGAAACAGTCCCAGCATTTGAGGAGTTTTCAGTGTAATTAGGAAACATTGCTAATTCAAAGCAGGGATATGAAGGGGAGGAAAGATTTCTTTCTGTTACTGGGGTTTGAACCCTGGGGTGTTCTACCACTTAGATCCATCCCCATCTCATTTTGAGACAGGGTCCCAGACTGGCTTTGAGACCTTCCTGCCTCAGCCTCCCCAGTAATTGGGATTACAGGCATGTACCTGTAATTCTTCATTTTAAAAAAGACATTGACTAAATTGATTTTTGGAAAAAATCCTGTGAATCTTTTTTTTTTTTTTTGCAAGGTTCTAGAGATCCAACCCATAACCCCAGCCCCTTAGGACATATTTTTAAGGAAACCCATAATTCTCCTTAATATTAAACAGATCTCAGTAAAAGCTATAGTAGTTGGAGTATCAATAATCTTACATGTATTATTTTTTTAAATGTTCTCAAAGGCCTTATGAGATGGGGGTTGTTTTTTTCTATTTCATGGATGAAGAAACTGAGGTTCAGAGAGAGTTAAAGTGACTTGTGTAAGGGTCTGAAGTCCATGCCCTCTGACCCAGAGTCCCAAGCTTCCCCTGCACTCTGTGGCTTTCGGGCAAGAGGCCCTGAGAGCTAATGGGAACTGAAGGATGAGCCACATTCAACAGTTTGAGTACAGTGCAGAAGAATGCAGAACTGGCCTGGGGGTCTCAAGACATGATCAAAGCAAGATTGTTCACGAAACCTTTTAAAGTAGGCCTTACAGGCTACCTCTGTACGTATTAAGAACAGAGAGACTACTGTTTTCTAAGAACATGAGCAGAGTTAATCAATTATGATGTGGGATCGTAAAAATAGGTTAGAATTTCTTTCTTCCTTTTTTTTTTTTTTTAAGAAATAAAACTACTCTTCTATATTAACTTTTCTACCACCCACCCATTTTCTAACCTTCCTGTCAGTTTTTCTAACTTCTCATTACAACCACAAAAGAAACAAAGAAAGAAAAATCAGCACATTAGTAATTACAGGCAGGAGCAAATATCTAAAGTAACATTAAAACCATTGAAATGGAATGTAATTGTATATCTTAATCTTTTGAAAGGTCTATGTTAACATTCTGGCAGCTTTAACTATAGAAGAGACGTGGTCATAGATGATAGATAGGAGGTTTTATACCCACTAAGTGCCCTAAGTCTTCTGCAAGGACAGAGTCTTGATATTGACCTGGAGCATAGAGAAGGCTTTGTAGGTATTAATAAGAAGTAGGATCAGCAATTAGACGATGATTCATAATCATTCCTCAGGGGGAGAGAGAAAATGTGATCCTTTGAAGGTAAGAAATTCATGAACCAACAGCGAAAGGAGAAAAAATGGCTACCCAGGTGGGAAAAGGAGAAAAAGAATGTTCTAAAATAAACAACCACAGCTCTAATTGGGTGATATTCAGGATGAGTGATGATTGGCATGGGTTAGCCATCAGTCAAGCCAGGGTAGATGTCAGCTATTCTACCTCCTTGGGTGACTCCTAACTGTCAGCTCTAATTTACACCACAGGAAAGGGTTAGAGTTGACTTAGAAAGGGCAGCAGAGAAGGAAGAAGGAAATCTGTATTTCAGTTTTGCTTTACGAAGGACTGCTCCTGGGTCTTTAGACAAACCCCTTTGCTTCTCTCAGTCTCTGTTTCCACTGGGGATATATTTTTTCCCTTTACTGTCATATTTTAAGGACTAAGTGGGATTCCGTATGTGAAAACGTTCTGCAAACCTTAAGGAATGCAACTTCACTGTCAAAGCAGAATTCATACTCATCCTAGAGAGTGGGCAGAGAGGGGAGTGAGAGTGCTTTGTTCTTTAAATGAATCAATTTTTATGATTGGAATAAAGGAAAGTAACATTGTACAGGAAATCAAAACATTGTATAGGAAATCGTAACTTGGAAACGTACAGGAAAATCTTAATATGATACTCTGATTCATTATATTTTCTGAGGACCCAAGATCTTGTTATCAGAATTTTCTGCATTCAACCTTTGATGACTATCTTTCTTTACTCTATGAACATTTAAATGAAGTGTACATTTGCACCTTTTTGTACCATAGAAAAAGCTCTTTTTGGACACAGAGGGGCTTGTGGTATTGCGGTTTCACTACAATTCATCTTCTTTTGTCCACATAGACTGTGGTGGGACTTTTGGTGAATAAAGACTACTCCAGGATATGCTCAGA